CTTTCGAATTGCTATATGAAACAAGAATTAATTAAAGCACATAAAGAGTTGGCAACAAAACATGCTGATGTTATAGAGAATAAGGTTTCAAATTTAGACAAGATTATAAACATGCAAGAAAGTATAAGGTTAAATGCTAAATTTAGTCCCTTAACTTTATGAAATGCACATTTTTGGTCCCTCAACAAATTTTTGCACTTTTTTGATCCTTTAACTCTAAAAACTGCACAATTTTAATCATTCTGCCAGTTAAGTGACACATGGCAGTTAAATATTCCAAAATGGCACTTTTTAATGATGTAGCAATGACAACTCATATAATTAGCTTACGTGGAGTATGCCAAGTCAGACTTAATTGTTTTTTTAAATTTTTTTCAATTCTTTAAATATTAAATTACTAAAATGCCCTTAATTTATTCTTCTTGCCATGGTTCTCCTTTGTGCTTTCTCTGTTCATCTTGCCACCGCCACCATTTCCAGTCATTTTTCCTCCCCTTCCCTCTCATCAGCTTGGCCATGACTGGGTTCATGAGGAACCCAGAGACGATCTGGGTTCGTCCACCATTTCCAACCATTTTCCCTCCCTTTCCCCCTCATCAGCTTGACCATGACTGGGTTCATGAGGAACCCAGATTTGCTTTGGGTTTGTGATGAACCCAAAATAGATCTGGGTTCGTCGAGAACCCAAGTCTACTTTGCTCTGGGTTCGACGCGAACCTAGAGCAGATCTGGGTTGGTCGTGAACCCAAGTTTGCTCTGCTCTGCTCTGGGTTCGACGTGAACCCAGATCTGCTCTAGGTCTGGGTTCATCGCGAACCCAGGTCTACTCTAGGTTCGACACGAACCCAGATCTCTTTTGGGTTCGTCGCAAACCCATTTCTTTATTGCTATAGATTAGGTAAAATTTGTTGAATATATTTATGTTAAAGTCCAGTTTGATTCATGGTGATTCATTGTCAGTTTGATTCTTTGTCGCAAACCCACAATGTTCATTATTAATTCCTTGTTTTTGCAGGAAGATGTATGCTAACTCTCTCATTCATGGTGATTCACACTTGCTTTTTGCAGAGGATAGAAATAAGGTAAAGTAGATTTATGGAGGAAACAATGGCATTTCTTCTAAAACTTTATGTTGCTTTTAATTGTGGAGTACTGAATGAAAGAGGATGAAAGAGGCATTCTGAGTTCATGACGAACCCATAACTAGGTTTGCGACAAACCCAGATCGTCTCTGGGTTCCTCACAAACCCAATCATGCCCAAGAAGGGGATGATGGGAGGGGAGAAGAGAAACAGTGACAACCAAAGGAAAAATGGCTGAAAACGGTGGCGGTGGGAAGGAGAACAAAGAGAGCATAGAGGAGAACGATGGAAAGAAGAATAAATTTAGGGCATTTTAGTAATTTTATATTTAAAGAATTGAAAAAGATTAAGAAGGACAATTAAGTCTGACTTGGCATACTCCACATAAGCTAATTGTATGAGTTGTCATTGCCACGTCATTAAAAAGTGTCATTCTGGAATATTTAACTGCCAAGTGTCACTTAACTGACGGAAGGATTAAAATTGTGCAATTTTTAGAGTTCGGGATCAAAAAAGTGCAAAATTTTGTTGAGGGACCAAAAATGTGCAACTCTATAAAGTTGAGGGACCAAAATTAGCATTTAACCAAAATATAATTACCCAATGACACATTTTGATTGAAGATTTGCATAATCAAATAAATGAAAACAAGAATGGAGAGAGCGAAATTGAAAATATTTATGAGATTAAACTATCTAAATCACAACTCCAATAGATTATGGCTTATGTGATACAAGAGTCAAAATGATACTAATTATACTATCATTTAGGGTTATTTTGTTGTTTTTATTTTTTAGATTTATTTTAGTTGGAACAAATAAAACTTAGTTATTTTTAATTTTATTTAATAATATTTTTATTTGGTTATTATTTTATAGTTGAATTTAAAAAATTTTAAAATTAAATTGTTTAAATTTATAAATATAAGTTTATATTTTTAATTATATTAAAAGTAATTTTAATTGGAATTATTTAATAAATAATTTTTTAATTCAAAATTTATTTTGTTTCAATTATTATATTTGATTTTAGTGACCAATTTTGTAAGAGGCTGTTGGTATGATGTTATTTTCATAACGAAAACATTAGATATTAGTGTTTAATGAAATTACAAAAATACCCTTCTCATGTTTTTTGGAATATGCTTTTTTAAGAATAAAAACTTTGTCACACATTTAATTTGTGACCTTTTTGTTTCTTCATTGATAGTAGTAGTTGTAACAAGGTTTTTATTGTTACAAATAATCTTACTTGTGATGCATAAAATCATTACAAATAAATTAATAATCGTGTTTTTTTTTTTGTCACTAAAATTATAATTTTTGTCATGATTGCAAAATTAATTATTATTAATTTTAGTGATTTAGCATTTGTAATGGAGAATAACCGATTAAATTTTAAACACAAATATAATTTGTGAGAAAAAATATAAATTTTTGTAAAAAATTTTACCGTCACAAAAAACCTATTTCTACACTAGTCAGAGCAAATAGCTATTGTCCTTCAAACTCCATTTCCTCTAAAAATGAACAAGCTCAATCTCAATACTTGATTGAACTTGTATTTAATCGAACAAATCCGATTATACGTTTGCTATGTTCATAGATGTGTTCAAAGCAAATTTACAGATCATTCTAAAAATATTACAAGGTGTGTAACATAATTACAAACAGAGAATAAATAAAACAAGAAAAAAAAATCAAGAAATTATTATCCTTCCTTCACATTATTTTCATTTCTTCATGTCGTTTAATCAGGCGAATCTGAAAACCGTTCATTAACCGAGCAGAGGGGAAGAAAGACATCTGATCTTTCTTCAGTTGGATCCACCTGAATTACGGATCCAAATATTTGGTTAAATTTAACTTTGTGGTGAGTATCATACAAGTTATGAGCTAAGATAGTATCGGGAAAGAGGAAAAACCTGTATGTAGTTACAAAGTAGTGTAGAAAAAGAGCAATTTGAAGGCGAGCCAGCTCTGCCCCTGGACAAAACCGAGCGCCTCCTCCAAAGGGGGAGTAGAATGGGCTACTTCTCCAATTTCTCTTTTCCTTCATTGAAAAAAAAAGTTTCCAATTTGAGAAAACTTCAGCCATACACACACAAGGTAAATGTGCCGCAAATAGAAGATGAAATGTGCATCTTCTATACTTATCAAGGTCAACTGTATGATTCAAGAGACAAACCTCATTTTCAGGGTCCATCCATCTCCAGGGGTTGAATGAGGTAGCTCCCTTGTACAAATTTCCATCCAAATGAACAGCTGAAATAAATGGGACCACAAAGCATCCTTTGGGAATAACAAAGTCTGCTAGCATTTTACACCACAGCTATATTTCTTAGTTGTTTTATCAATTCACGACTACTTCAAGCTTATAGTAGCAGGAGCAGGATTATAACTGTATGTACCTTGGTATGTAACATCTTCTTTTGCCTCCCTCATTAGCCAGATTGCAATTCCCCCAAGGCGAAGTGTTTCATCAATAACCTGCGGAGATTATGAACATCAAATTCAAGCCAGGGATGATCTACCTTCTGGTTCTTTATGCTGTGTTACACTAGATTTCGCTAGTGATGTTTTTAAAAAATGGTTAAAACCCTAATTTGCCCCTCTAATTTGGCCAAAAAAATCCCTTTTAGTCCTTCAACTTAAAAAAATCCCTTTTTTGGTCTATAAAGTTTGAAATCCGACGAATTTTTAGTCTTTTCGTTAAATTTTGAAATTAGATGATAAAAATTTTAAAATAGATGGACCAAAAAAGAGGTTTTTTTTTTAAATAACAGCTATAGCCCTTTTTGGTTCTTTTATTTTGAAATTTTCATTATCTAATATACAACGTGTACAAAACTTAACAGAAAGATTAAAAAAAGTCAAATTTCAAACTTTAGGACTAAAAAAGGGTTTTTTTAAGTAGAGGGACTAAAAAGGAGCTTTTTATCAAAGTAGAGGGATCAAAATGGGCATTTAACCTTTAGAAAATGCTTAACTTAGAATGTTGTGCTGCTCAATCAATGTCATTTAAAGCAGCTAATCTCAGTTTTGATCATTGAAGATAAACTGAATCAGAAAGTGTTCCTGATGGTCTCAGCCATGTTAAAATAAAAGGTACTTCTCATCAAACATGAGTCTCTTTAGAAGGTGAAAACTGTTAATGGGGAGGAGCAACTACAAACATGCATGATAAACATATACAACAACAAAAACAATTTTGCTTTTCTCTTTTGTATATCATGATAATGACTTACACATTGAGTGAATGGCATTGCTTTGTAATCTTGCCATGTGAGCATGCCATCAGGGGAGTTAGCTCTAACACTGTTCTGCTCTTCCTGTTCAAACCAGAGATTTTGAGTTAAAAGTAAAATGAGGCAAAGGTGGTTCAAACAAGAAAAGATTGTTTGTTTTCATTTCCTAGAAAGATCACCATTAAAAGCCAAAAATAATAGTTCATGTAGGTAGCAGCATACCAGAAGCTGTTTCAATGCTCTAGGATGTTGTGTGAGGAAATAAACTGCGAAAAGCATCGTTTTAGCAGTTGTTTCATTTCCAGCAAAGAGGAGATTAATAATGAAGTCTGCCACAGCTTCATCAGGTAAGCTCTCTTCCTCAACTAGTCTTCCAAGCATGCCATTGCCAACTTCTGATGCACCTTGTTGCTTGCACTTTTCAATTGTCCTGTATATCTTGCTTATTATTTTCTCCCTTGCCTGATTATAACAAATAAAAGAAGAGGTTACTATTGCATTTGACCGTGCTTAACCAATTCATATTTTTCTTTTATATAATTTCAGGAAGAGGGAGAAAGCATTTCCTTGAACCTTATTTGTCATATCAGGTAGAGAGGAGAATAATTATGAACTCTGTCATGTTACAACCATGTAGTATCAAGTTGAGTAATGGCAGCAAAAGAAAGATCCCAAACACAAATGGTGCTCCATAAGTTGAATTGTTGGAACTTTCTTAGTTTTGATTTATCATTTATAATTGAATGATAACCCATGATAATAAATCCATTCAATCAAATGAACATACGTAAAGTAAGAAATAGAAAATATCAGAGACATATTGTGTTAACCTTCATGGCAGTGTGGTATGCAAATCCTGGCATATTGACTGGAACAGACAGACAGCCATCAACGAAGTCAGAGAAAAGTTGAGCCATCTCATTGATCTCTGATTCACTTAATACTCCAAGTAGTTGATTAACCATAAGATTAATAGCTAGCTGAAAAGAAACTAAGGTGAAATAAGCCAGAAGTCCAAAGAAATGATCAGCACTCACAGAATACCTAGAGTTATAGTATTGTACTTGCCTTTCTGCATACATCTTGTAGAAGTATGATTTGATTGTTGTGGATACTGTTAAATGTATGAAGCATAACCTTCTGAATATCATTCAAGAAATGGGACTTTAGCTTGTCCAGACGCATCATATTGGAAGCAATTCCATGGAGTTTCCTCTGTTGCTCTCCTTGTACTGTGATTACCCCATTTTTGCCAACCAAATCTCTGAAAGCTTTTGGATAACTTGAATGGAACAACTTCCCTTCATTTTGCATTACAAACCGATTAAAAGTTGGATCTGCAGATACCACAGCCCAATTGCCAAATATGCTACAAGAAAATATTTTGCCAAACCTGTTAGAGTAAACTTCTAGTTTAGTTCTCCTTGAATGACATTGAAATCAGGCCAAACATAAGGAGCATTCATCAAATTATCACAATGTTATGCTTTCACTGAATCATTTGTCTGAGCTAAGATGGGCTAAGATGATGTTAGTTAATAAGGCTGCAGAACAATAGCTACCTACAAGAGAATTGATATTATGTCATAATCCTTAGTTGTGAATTAAGCTAGGCTGAATAATTAAAACTTACCAGTTACCACTCAAAAAAGAATTAATATAACTGACTTATTTGAGAAATTTTAAGCTCAAAAGGGTTACTCCATCAAACTAGGCTACAAGGTTATGATGTTTTTTGTGACGCACCTTTTGACTTGTTGTTCAACATAGCGAGGGGGATGAGAACTTGCAACCGCATTGTACCAGCTGAAGCTATCACCGACCAGCGGCCAGCCTCTGCTTCCCGGTGGCAGCCTGTATGCCCTTTTTCTTACAATCTTACTAAAAACAAGTTTTGCAAGGAAGATAACAAACAGCAACGTCATGATCATGAATGGCCATGTTGCTGAAAAGATTTCTCCCATCTTCCCCTGAAAAAGGATCAAGAGAGAGGAAACCAACCAGAAGAGTTCATCACATTGACAGTTAGATATGAAAATCACTGATTTTAGCAAAAACATCAATTAAGAAAACATTTTCTATGGTTGAAGAGGAACATTATATGTGATGGGCAAAAAAGCTTCGTTGACCGTATTAGTTGGGAGCTTTAGGACAGACACGTTTAGTAAATTTTGTTAGATCAGTGAATCTCAGAAAACATTGTTTACAAGCTAGGATATTGAAATTTATTCCATTGTTAAAGTCAATTAGGCAATTTTCTAGAAGAACTGGCTAAAAATTCAGTTGTGTTGTATATTACACATATCTAGGAGAATCATATTTCCACTACTTCACCAAGCTATGAATAAATTTATTCTAATACAAGCATATTATATTCTCACCCTTTAGATAACATTTTCTTGGATAGACAGGCAAAGCTTTTGTATATAGAAATTAGTGAACACCATTTTTTAACTCTGGACATCATAGTCAGATGGTCAGAAAACATTAAAAGAAATCTAAGAAGGGAATAATAAAGGTCGGAAGAAGATATTCAATCTTCTGATGCATACCTTACAAGAATAGCTACATTCAACTACCCTTTGAGGATTTGACATGAAGAACTTCTGAATTTAGCCTGCCAGTAGGACAATTGGGCCAAGAGGGAAGGAGGTTGTTGTGGGGAGGGAGAAGCTTAATAGTTTATATAAAAGAGAAGAAAACACTAGGTGCTTGAATGCTCCCAAAATCAGGTGCATTAATGTTCCACACATGTATTCAACAGCAAAATGCATGAAATAAGGTGGGTGATCTTCAAGTTCAAGAGATCCTTAGCTGAAACCTTGACTTGCTGACTTGAATTTTTCATCCATGTGCTTAATTTATTTCATACTCAAGTTGCCACCATTAATTCTTTGACACATAATTATATAAAACAACAAGTTGGGAGCTCGAGAACAGACTGGACTATTTGGCTACGAGTTTCTTTGTTCTTGAGCAATGCACCAACTTCTGCAAATATGCAAAGAATGACATTAGGCAAATTATATTCTATATGGAGCCCACTACACCAGTCAAGGATGGAAAATACAGTTAAACAGTTGGAAAACCCTAATTTTCAGGGCTTCCCATGAATCAAGGGTCTGAGTTTGTGCTACAATTTAGCCAAACTTTATGATATAAAATTGAAGAAAAGCATCATCACTATAATATGCCAGCAAGAACCAGCTAAGCTTTATGGTTCCTACAACCGGTTTACCAGCCTATACTGGCTCATCCTGCCAAGAAACCTGCTCCGTTGCTTTAGGGTCAGATTAAATCCATGGCATCTTTATTCTAGACTAGAAATTAAAAACTAGGCCAAATGCATTTAAAATTTTTTCCTGAAAAGAACTTCTCGTCTGTCTAAGAGTTTTCTGGCTATTGACTTAGGAGATAAAATGAAAAATTATAAATTTTCAAAATTTTTCCTGACTCTTCTAAGTTTATAGTAGAGCATTTGATCTAAACAATGTATAAACCTTGCTTTTTTCGAACTTGATGTTTGGCCGTGGAGACTTGAACTTGCGGACTTTCTAAGATCTCATCGTGTCCTTAACTACAAGACTAATGCTTTATGCATCATGAGTGAATGCGCCATTACAAAATTTAATCCACTACTTGAATCCGGATTTATATGTTCTACAAATAAAAACTAGGGAAAGAGAAAAAAAAAAAAAATGATACAAAGAACAATAATTGCAACAAGAAATTATTGCGAAAAGAAATTACCTAAAATATGGAGCATTTGCCAAAAAATATACAGTAGATTGGGTAAACAATGAACAAACAACAAATCACTACTACGGAATTAAAATGCACCACCTGCCAACCACCACTCTCTCGACCCATCTTCAAATTACCACCGAAACCAGCCCAGTGCCAGCACCTCTCACTTTCTCGGCAAATCGCAACTGCACTCCACCGGCTTCTGACGGTAGAGGATGCGCAACCCATTGACTCCCTCCCAGAATTCCCGGGTGCGAATGATTTAAATCCTCACTCACAAGAAGTCAGAGGTTATGGATGGGATGATGCACACGAAGTGTTTGATAAAACGCGTAGGAGAGGTGTCGGTGGTCATACCCAGAAATGAGTTTCCAAGTTTTGTTTGATCCTTTCAATTTTGGGTTTATTTATGTTCATTTCTGTCTTCTTCTTCCTTTCCATCCATACAGAAAGGCTGTTCATGATTCCTTTGATTTCTGATATCACCATTTTCGTTCTGCAATTCTTGGACATCTAAGATGAAACCAGTCAGGGAAGGAACCAAGCCCACAAAGTATGGAACTTCACAGAAATGGGTTATTTTCTCAGGAATACAATTGCAGAGTTCCATGCCTCTTTGCTCCACCATGAAAATAACCACAGTCAGCCTTAATTTTTCCCCCTGCAATTCCCGGCCGTTGTTGGGCTTGTTTGAGATATGTGAATAATTATAGGGGTCAATTATCGCTTAAAACATTAAAAGGGCTTCATTGAGAAATTGAGATAAATACCTGGACTTTGGGCGTTGGCATAA